CGACGGCCGCGGGCTGTCGTGACCGCCGCGAGCTGTCGCCGACAGGGCTGGGGCGGGAGGTGGGTCGGCCGCTGGGCTGCGACTCGCGGGCGGCTGGAGGGGCGCGTCGTGACCGAGCCCTGGGGGCGGGCAGGGCCTCACGGGCGCCCGGCTGCGCGTTGGGCGAGAGCAGGAGAGGCACAGCCGCGGAGCTGAGGGGCAGAGACGAAGTCTGTGCTTCAGTCGCGATAGAAAGTTTTAACAGCGTTATGCGTTGGATCCTGCTCGTTTTTTAATCCTCAGAGGCAGGTGAAGGAGACGTAAGTTTCTGGCTGTCTCCACACATCGCTTTTATTTTAAATCCTTCTCTGTGAAGAAGTTTAGGTAGGAGCATGCCCTTGATCTGTCCTCCTTGGACACTAACATTTTTTGTACAGACCCGGCTGCCTTGAGCATGGCTTTAGGGTACCTTGCTGCCTGTTTGCTTTTCTCCTTGTTGCAGTATACTATTTCCCTTTTAGGTAAGTCATAGCTATAAAAGATCTGCAGCAGTCTTCTTATGGTTCATAGTGTGAGCCTCATGGCCCGTAATGGTGCTCCTCAGCTCTCCGTCGGGGTGTGTAAAAGAAGGATATAAATTGTAAATTTTGTCTTAAACGGTGGGGTTGTACTGTCCGTTTTGTGTACCACCTCTATGAGTACACATGGTAAGCTTTCCATTTCTACATGCCTCCTCAGGTTGGTTCTCTATCTGCTATTCACATCAGACCTGGGATTGGTTTTGAGGGGCTGAAATAATGTATGATACTTCTTATGTTCATAGTTGTCATTGTAAGCAAAGGACAAATAACTGGATTTTCAGCATCGAGCCAACGTGATGGGACCAAGCAAGCCAACTATGTCTGATGCTACATTTGCATTCGCTACCCAGCTATACAGGAACGAAGCAAAGGCTTTACAAACACAGGTATTATTTGACTTCTGCAGCGATGCTGAATTGGTTTTCATTTGTGACCGTTACAAAAGGATGATTACGACCCATTTCCTGAGATAGCCCACTAGTGAGCATCAAATCTGCATACTTGTTTTCGTGATGCTGTCATACATAATCTCGACACTGTATTTTTGTAAGGGTATAGATCAGAAACTGCATCTGAAAATATTATTTCCCTGTCTGTTGTGGTTTAATTGCAGTAGGCAGCTAAGCACACAGCCGTTCACTTGCTCTCCTCCAGTGGGATGGGGAAGAGAATCATTTCTTCTTCTGTTACCTTTGTAAATTTAGTAATGCTGTACTAAATCAGTATGATATAATCATACCCATTTATATTACTAATGTTAATTGTTATTATAACTCATTAATTTCATCATCAGAACTCTTAAAAACAAATCTTTATAAGGGCATTCATTGTCCATTGCCCAGCCATTTTGGAGCAGATTTTTCAATGTGTGGACCCTCCCTAAGGTGCCCGCTCTAAGTTGCAAATAAGTGCCTAATGTTATTTATAAGATTATCTAAATGCTTAATTCAAAATAATTTTGAATACTGGCATTTGTCTCGGTGAACGGAATGCATTGAAGAAGTACCATCATGACAGCATGCGTTCTAATATGAAAGAAGGTCCATCTTCCTTACGGTTATACGCTAGAGGTACGTCACCTGCGTAAAGTGTTCTGTGTAACGTCAGCTTTTTTTTACCCTTTGGAACAGCTCCAGTTTAATAGAAAAGTTCCTGCAGTTCCGGAGAACTTGGCTCTCAGATTCTCTAACCCCCATCCAATTATAATCGAAAAACTGAAGGCATCCAGTGATCAGAGAAATCTAGCTGGCAGCGAGGACCCCAGCACAAGAAGCTCTGGCATGTTTTCAGCGGTATCTGAAGAGAGACTAAAATTGGCTATTCAGCTAGCCAAAAGGGACATAAAACGAAGGCGTCTTGAAGAGCAAGTGAAACAGCAAGCGTTTGGAGATGCTGTCAAGAATCCACTGTTGGCCCAGAAGTCACAACAGCAGAAGATTGAAGTATTTGAAAGTCCAGAAAATAAAAATGCACTGAAGGCTCAAAGTCGCTTGAAATATCAGCAGCAACTTGGTCAGCCTTCCAAAGTGGAGACTACCACCTCTGGCGCTAAAGTTTATCTCTACACACCAACTGAGGGAAAGCTAATACCGGCTGTTTCGGACTCTCCACCCACCCGTGACACAGGACCGGACACCAAGCCAAATGTAAACAAAAAAGAAGATAAAAATATGCAGGAAGTCCGACGGCTGCAAAAGGAATTGAGGAGCTGCGTCCAGAAAATTGAAGAACTGACTAAAAAAGGTGTAAGACTGAACAATAATTATGTTATATAAATGTACAGTAGTTTGTTGATTTGTTTTTCTTTCCGTTTTCTGGCTTGGATTAGAATCCGTACTTAGTTCTGAATTTTTGAAAACCATCTACTTTTTTCAAAAGCAGATAAAAGCTAGAACGGCTAACCGGTTTAAGCAATAGCAGGGTTTAATATCTCTGAGTGTTTATGGTGAGTTCCAATCCAGCCTGCAATGATAGTAAATTAGTGGTAGGCTATTTAATAATGTGGGTGACAAAATATTGCTGGCTGTAGGCCTATTGACTAGATATTCAGACTGCAAAACCATTATCATAATTAACCACGTTCTTATCAGCGATGAGAAAAGGGGCAAGAGTTGGTAAAACTTCATTTCACAAGTCTGACACCTAATTTCTGGCTGTTCAGTAGCACAATTAATGTGCTTTCTGACACGCTCCAGCACCTCAATGTCCTTCTTGTAGTGAGGGGCCCGAAACTGAACACAGGATTTGAGGTGCAGCCTCACCAGTGCCAGGTACAGGGGGACGATCGCTGCCCTGGTCCTGCTGGCCACACTATTCCTGATACAATATGATGCATTGTGTATTGGTTCTGCATGAAAGAGGCTTATTGCTAAATTATGTTTGTTATCGTGGCTTAATAGGGATTTTCACAGGTTAAAATAAGATGTAAAACTTTACATTTTGTCCTTTTTAGGGAGAGAGAAAGAAATTTTAGATCCTGATAAAGAGCAACAAGTTTGCACTAGGAGACAGAAACAGGCTGCACGGTCAGCTCGGATGCTGTATGTACTCCAGCAACAGGTAGGAACCAGCATTTTAAATTGGGATGTACAGTAGCTTGTTTGTTGTGATGAAATGGACAGAAATGAACTGAAACGAGAAATTCCATCGGGTTATCTCTGAACTTCCATGGCATTCTAGTTGAGATCTGAATGGTGTGACTCCTTTCTCTCATGACTGGACAGAAAGATGAGCATCACCACTGGAAAAACTGGACTTTCACTCAGACGTTACAGTGAAGATTAATTGTTCATTTATAGACATGGAGCTAGTTCTGACTGACTTTCCCCTCTCCCCCTCCTTTCTTGATAAACAGGTAAAAGAAATTCAGGATGATTTAGAGAAACTGAGTCCTCATAAAATCAAACATACTAAAAAGGTAAGATGTAATTATCCTTCAGGCTGCGAGTAACTTATTGACAGAAAGTTTTCTAGCTAGTTATGTTTGATTGTGTAGGGTACACCTAAGCCTTCTCCAGAAGGGAGATTTTCTTTGTATCTCGCACCTTTCATCTCATTCTCACAGAAGTATGTCTCACTTGGTCTGATACTGCCTTTGCTGCTTCCCTCTCCTCACTTCTTATCTGTCTGCAGTAAACTGGAGAGGAAGGCTGTTGGTCTTCTGCTTTTACATGGCTTCTAATTCCTTCTTCATTCCACTTTTCTGAATAACACTGTGTTCTACTCTTGACATCTCTTTTTAACGTCCTGTTGATGTCACTTGGTCTTATCAGCCTCCTTTCTGTATTTCTGGTCTGCCCAGCATCTTTCAGAAATACAGTACTGAGATCATACTTACTGTTTGGCCAATATTGTCCTGTTGTTCTCTTGTGCTTTTCCATCACTTGTATTGTCTTCTGTAACAAAAACTGCAGGATGGAAAATGTTCTATGTTTCTGCAGTTGTTGCATGTTAAGGTCAAGCTTGTGACTACAGTACTCTGTTGTAGTAGGTAGCAGAAACATCAGAATATGTTATAACCAGGCTATTTTACCTGGAGCTAGCATGATACTTGACATGAGTACTCTTGTGTAGTACCTTTAGTAGATTACTTAAATGCCTGTTTTGTTTTGTCTCACAAATGGCTTCGTATCCATCAGAATTATCCCAAGCCTGAGTGTTTGTCTGTGAAATGTTGGCAACAATTCTTTGAGTAGTATCAGTATTCATAGAAACTGTAGCTATTGAAGCATTTATTTTCCATTTTTCCAGTCTCAAGCAGCATCCAGATTGGCGGCAGCACACAGAGGAGCTGTACGAGCCTTGCAGGCATTCGCCAATCAGTTTACAGATCAAACAGAGCAGCAGATTCCTACCCACTACAAGGAACTGGGCAGTCTCATTCGACAGCTGTCTCTCTGTTCTGCCAAACTAGAAGTGGATTCTTCCATTTCTGACATTATCATAGATATTTTGCTGCAAGTTGAGGTAGGAAAAAACATGTTGGTTTTGCTAAGGCAGAGAAGACGTAGTGAAATATGAGATGGCAAACTATATTGTGTGTCCATGAAATGGCAGAATATCTTACTGTTGCTTTTTTTTTTAAAAAAAAAAGGCTATATTTTCTAATGTATAAATATGTTTCCAAAGTTCCTGAATAATGGTGGTCTAAAATAGAGTTGCATCCTAAACACGGAAGCTACCTGCTGCTGTTCTTGCTGGTGCTGTTCCGGTCTTTATTGGCTCTCCTGGTAGA